CCCAGTGTGCTGGCTGGAGTGTCAGTTGGCACAGCTCTTTGGCAGCTTCACCTAGAGCTGAACAAATGCCCCCCTCGGACCCAGCAGTTCCTCTCCCAGGTAGTTTTCCAGGAGACTCAGGTGAGGATGTTCCCCAAAAGATGTGCATGAAAACAGCTGCAGCAGCCTTGTTCCTTGTCCTAAACTGGAGGGCGAAAAATGCAAAAACCCATCAGCCGGACAGTGGATAAAACCAGGTCCATCCTGCAGCAATGGCGAGCACCTGGCGACTCAGGCCATGTGAACGCACCTCATGTGGGACATGAACCAGAAGAAACGAGGCCAATAAAAAGAAGGCCACACTCTTTATAGGGCGTTCAAAACCAGGCATTGCAGAGTGGCGTCAGAGACCAGCAGTGACGACCCTTGGAGCCAGTTGGTGATGGGAGACAGGGTGACGCTTGGAGCCAGTTGGTGATAGGAGACAGGGTGACCCTTGGAGCCAGCTGGTGATGGGAGACGGGTGCACAGGGTCCTTGGAATCCTAGGAATGCTGTTTTTGCATGGGGTTTGCTGGTGCAGCGGGTTTGGTTTGTGCAGATGCAAGGAGCTCTACACTGAAGGTTTGGGCACTCTTCTGTATACTTAGATCTTCAAAATGACTCCACACACCTCCTCCTATGGTCTGCCTGCAGTCACTCACCATGAGCCGCTCTGCCCATATACTCCTGGATTTTTCTGTGCCTAAGATAAAGCTTGTGTGCTCTCTCTCTCGCACGCGCTCTCTCCACACACACACACACACACACATACACACACACACACACACAGAGCTATCTATAGCTCTACAGAAATGGCACCATGTTTCACATACTGCCCTGCAACCTGCTTTTTTTGAACTGCCAGGGTGCTGGGGGAGTCGTTCCGTGTGGCTGTGACGGAGCGTTTCATGGTGGCGATGTCTTGTGTAGTTAACGGGTCCCGTGTCCACGGTGATTGATTTCAGCATTTCCCTGGTGTAGAGGATGCTGCGGGGAGCCCCTTGGTGCCTAGTGCTGTGTACTTTTGTGGCTGTTTGTGTAGAGGAACTAGTGAGAGTGGCGGGCCTAGGTCTGAGTGGAGATCTAATCTGTGGACGGCTGTGGCTGGCGGGCGGGAAGCGGGGAGGACAGGGAGGAGGCTGCTGGGAACCGTTGGTCGAAGCCTGAGGCAGGAGCTGCTTGGCCGGGAGGATGGATGGGGAGGGTGTGAGGTCTGGGAGTATTGGTGGCCCAGGCTTTGTCAGGCCCGGCACCAGATGAGAGAGGAAAGAGCCGCCGTGTTCCTGGGAGGTGGAGTCTGGTGGTGGGAAGATTGGAACTAATCAGAAGCTGACTGGGGAGTGGGCTGGTGACTGGGGAGTGGGCTGGTGGTGGGTGCAGGCTGCTATCTGGTGGGTAAGGTGACAGCCTGGGGCATAGGGCAGTCCTGGGGTTGCTGAGGGGAATGAAAGCACCCAGGGGGATCCAGAGAGGGAACCCAGGGACGGCCTGGCCAGCACCTATGTGGGGACGGGGCAGGCAGGGAAGACAGAGGTGCCCACTGTCAGGGACGTCAAAGGCGGAGGGGTCTGGAGAGACTCTGGGTCAAAGGATGAAGTCATCCGTGGCCGTTGGTCCCCCTCCCCCTGCCCCGACGTGTTGTCATTACCTTCTGCACTAGGTCTGCCGAGCTCTTGACACAGCTGTGACTAATCAGTGTGATCCTTGCGGTCGCTGCCTCCCCTCTGAACGTGAGCTCAGGAGCAGGAGCTGTGTCACCCTGGCTGCACCTGCTAGCCCAACCGACATCAGGCATCCTCGCTCCCAGAGTTCACAGGACTCACACCCCAAGCCCCTGCGGTGGTGGTGGCGGTGTGTGGTGATAAGGGTGTGTGACATCCCCTCTTGCTTACCCCTTAGCCGTCTCTGGAAGACATGCCCGCCCTTGGAGGCGGAGGGTTCTGCTGCCACACTGGGACCCACCTGTGCCAAGAGTTTTGAACGTCAACTCCTGGGGGTTCCAGCCTGTGTTAGGTGACATTTCCCCGGGCAGACCCTGTGGTGAGATTCCTGTCCCACAGGGCAGGACAGAAAGTGTGTGGGACTGACCAGAGAGAGCACGTGGATGCTGAGGTGGGCAGCCAAGTCCCTGACACAGCCCGCTGGCAGGAGGTGGAGCCTCCAGAGGCTGGAGGAGGAAGGAGAGAGCCAGGACCGGAGGGGAGCAAGCCAGGAGGAGGAAGTCAGGTTGGGCCTGGGCGGAGTGGGGCGAGGACCAGGAGAGGGGAAGGCCCCTCGGGGAGGCGGGGCCAGGGGGTGGAAAAGCCTAAGGCTGGTGAATCTGGGAGGGAGAAGAGCTGACCACACCTTCCAGCCAAGAGGGAGCAGGACTGTGCCCCGCGGGTGGGTTAGGGGCAGGGGTGGGGAAGCATTAGGACCATCACACAGGGTGACCACCAGGGCTGGGTGGGGCTCAGTGGCAGACGCTAGCCTAGCATGCCTGAGGCACAGGGTTCGATCCTCAGCACCACGTAAAAGTAAATGAACAAGTGAAATCAAGGCATCTCTCCACCTACAACTACAAAAAACATTAGAGAGAAATGTTTGAAAGAAACGACCAACAGAAGGTTGCCTAAGTTAGGTGAGTGCCGCTGGTGTGATTGGTTAGGGGGTCCCCGGGTTGGAAGGTCACAGGAGGGCATCAGCAGGACAGCTGGCCAGGGCGGATGTGGGGTATGCCACAGTCTGTCTTAGTAGCGCTGCGCTACCCCGGATTGGCACCTGCTCTGCCAGGCTCTGGGGCAACGCCCTTTTTTCACCTCCACCACGAGGGGCGCCGGCCTCTGCCTGGGCCTCTGCCTGGGCCGCTGACTGCCACGCCAGGCTGCCTGTGGGCTGGGCCAGGGCTGCGGTGGGGCCTGGGGCTGTGTGAACTGCCACCAGGCCCCAGGACACCGCAGGCCCCAGGACACCGCAGACGTGAGGTGCTCTCCAGCGGGCCGCAGGGATGGGGATTCAGTGCCCACAAAGCTTGGCGCCACCCTCTTCCCCAGAGGAGAGCTGTCAGCGCTAGAGGGTGGGGATGGTGGGGGGCTCCACCCAGGGTGGGTCTGAAGGCCCAGTGGGGGGCGTTTGCCCTGCCCACGTGACTTGTGTGTGTGCGCACATGTGGACAGCACCGTGTGCCTGCCAGTCTGTTTCCGTGTGTGTGTGTGTGTGTGTGTGTGTGTGTGAGTGTGCACCTGCTGTACAGAGGAGCACAGAAACAGTAATGGGGGTGGGTGGGGGCGGATGCAGCTGCAAGTTCAGGAGAACCAATGGGGATGAAGGGGAACAGACAGCACCCACCT